ACAGGAGTCTTGACGCCGTAAGTGTCACCCTGTGGGAACTGGGGCTTGAGAAATGAGTGGGAATGGTGATACTCTGAATGCTGCCACTGCTTTGCCCCTGAGCCAGGAATCTCATGTCTTCTGCCAGCTTCTGTGAAACTACTAGGCTAGCTTACTAGCTTCCAGTAGAGTGAAATNTGAGAAATGAGTGGGAATGGTGATACTCTGAATGCTGCCACTGCTTTGCCCCTGAGCCAGGAATCTCATGTCTTCTGCCAGCTTCTGTGAAACTACTAGGCTAGCTTACTAGCTTCCAGTAGAGTGAAATCCCAGACCTTTCCCCACTTCTGACGGTCATCATCTCCATATTGTCCATTAAGTCATAAAGCAAATTTTCACAACTTGATTTCTTCACCTTAGTTCTGAAGCAAATAGAAAATGCATTTTTCTGTAGCACAAACTTATAAATAATACTGGATTCCGTTACAAAGAGTCTTCCAGAAGCACCTATTTTTCTTTTTTTTTCTTTTTCTTTTTTAGCAGAGCTAAGTCTCTTGCTCAGCTGTCATCACCCTGGAGTTTCACTCACCCAGGCTGTCCTCAAAGCTTTCATAGTTAGAAAAGACAAGACACACCCAGATTGCTCTAGGTAATACGGTTTGTACAAGAATATCTGCAGTCAAGAAGACGCTCAGCAACTGAGTCATTCTGTGTCTCAGTGCTTCTAAAACTGGATCAGCAGATCAAGTACTCCAAGGATGACTCATAATCGTGTAGTCATGTAGAATACAAAGCTCTAGTGACCCACTTTTTCTTGCTTGCATCATGTTGACACCAGCATAAAGAGGTCCCTCATACTAGCAGCATTTTTCATGCCAAGTTACTCCTCATGCTAAGTTCTGGAATGCACCTACGGGGGTGTACCTGGCACTAGTCAAGTCATTTCAGCCAGGGATAGCGAGATTACTTTCATTTGACATCCCCCTCCTTGGCAGAAACCATAGCTACTTGAAGAACTGCCTAATGTTGCTTCCCTTTGCAGAGAGCCATGGACTGCTCTAGCCATCACGGTCCAGCTATTACAGTCCTTCAAGTAGCATTTTGTAACATCCTTATACCTCATTACTGAACATCTGCCAGGTGGACACCCAACCAGAGAATTCTAGGAGTTAAAATGCTAGAAAGATAATTTAGCTCCATCTTTTGGTTTTATGGCTTCCAAGGTGTCTTAGATGGTAAAGACTCTGCCTACAGTGCAGGAGACCCAGGTTTGACCCCTGGGTTAGATCCCTGGGTTTAGAAGATCCCCTGGAGAAGGAAAATGCAACCCACTCTAGTATTCTTGCTTGGAGAATCCCATGAACAGAGGGCTGCAGTCTATGGGGTTGCAAAGAGTCTAATGTGACTGAGTGACTAGACTAACACTTTCACTTTCTTTGGTTTTATAGGTGAATAATCTTCTAAAGCCAAGCCAGATTAAAAGCCTTGGCCTCCTACTTCCTCTTCTTCAGCATGATTGATGAATGCCTGGATGTGGGTAGCATTACTGCCCTTGGGAAGGCTGCAGGAGGGTCTGCCCCTCAAACATAGAACCCGGGTTTTTAGCTCTCTCCCCAGTGCTTGTCCCATGATTTGGCAGGATCTCTCTGCCCCACCCCCATGTCTTTTAGAATGTAATTAAATCACTTTAAATTTGCATATAATCTGATTCAGATGGCACTTAAATTTTTTTCTCATTTCTACCCCTGGAGAAGGAAAATGCAACCCACTCTAGTATTCTTGCTTGGAGAATCCCATGAACAGAGGGCTGCAGTCTATGGGGTTGCAAAGAGTCTAACGTGACTGAGTGACTAGACTAACACTTCCACTTTCTTTGGTTTTATAGGTGAATATCTTCTAAAGACAAGCCAGATTAAAAGCCTTGGCCTCCTACTTCCTCTTCTTCAGCATGATTGATGAATGCCTGGATGTGGGTAGCATTACTGTCCTTGGAAAGGCTGCAGGAGGGTCTGCCCCTCAAACATAGAACCCGGGTTTTTAGCTCCCTCCCCAGTGCCTGTCCCATGATTTGGCAGGATCTCCCTGCCCCACCCCCATGTCTTTTAGAATGTAATTAAATCACTTTAAATTTGCATATAATCTGATTCAGATGGCACTTAAATTTTTTTCTCATTTCTTGAGTGCTTCTGAATGATACCACTTAATTTTAAATATTTTATGATTTCTACAATGAGTCACTCATTACTATGCACCCTGAAAAACAAATTCTCAGGTTTTATACTCTGCGTATTCTTCAAGCTTGATGTCAGCTATCATTGTGTCCAGGAGATACCCTTGGACTTTGTGCTCGGAGCGCCTGCTTTCTTAACAAATGGGGCATCTCAGTCATGGTGTGTAATTTCATCACATCATCGCTCCCTGGACTTCCTCCCTACAGAACTGTGCGCTCCTTGTGGGCAAGACCATTCTGGATTGGTGTCCTGGAACCTAGCACTGCACTTGAGCATGCTCAACAAATGACTTATTATTCATTCTGTTCACCCCTCTCCCACATTTACACAGTCACTGCTTGCCCTCAGATTCCTCACCAAGTGTCGTTCTTTTTTAAAAAAAATTACTTAATTAAAATATATTTATTTATTTGGCTGTGCTGGGTCTTTGTTGCGGCCTCTGGGATCTTTAGTTGTGGCATGTGGAAACTTAGTTCCTCTACCAGGGATCGAACCTGGGCCCCTTGTATTGAGAACGGAGTCTTAATCACTGGACTGCCAGGAAGTTTCCCTTGTTCTTCTTATCTCTTCCTCTTCCCATAGGTGAATAGAGTGAACAGTAGCCATCTTCCTGGTACAACACGTTATCCAAATCTAGCCAAAATGTAACAGGAAGTGAGGGAGGGAGTAGAGTTTACTGCATTTAGTTTCAAGTGTGCATCTCTTGCTCTTTAAGTTCAGACTTCTCTCTTTTAGCCCCTAAAGAGATAGCAGTTATAGCTTTGGAAACAAAAAGCAAACTTATCTTTGATATACATTGAGCAAGTGATGGCTCCAAATAAGTAAGTGAGAGGTAGACAGATTTTTCAGGATTCCTGATTCTCTAGGATCAATTCAGTTCAGTCACTCAGTCCTGTCCGACTCTTTGTGACTCCATGGACTGCAGCACACCAGGCCTCCCTGTCCATCACCAACTCCCGAAATTTACTGAAACTCATATCCATTGAGTCGGTGATGCCATCCAACCATCTCATCCTCTGTCATCGTCTTCTCCTCCCGCCTTCAATCTTTCTCAGCATCAGGGTCTTTTCAAATGAGTCAGTTCTTCGCATCAGGTGGTAAAAGTATTAAGAGTTTCCACTTCAGCATCAGTCTTTCCAATGAATATTCAGGATTGATTTCCTTTATGATGGACTGGTTGGACCTCCTTGCAGTCCAAGGGACTCTCAAGAGTCTTCTCCAATACCACAGTTCAAAAGCATCGATTCTTCGGTGCTNGGCTGCCGTCTATGGGGTCTCACAGAGTCGGAGACGACTGAAGTGAATTAGCAGCAGCAGCAGAGGCTCTTTAGTTCTTCTTCAGTTACTGCCATAAGGGTGGTATCATCTGCATATCTGAGGTTATTGATATTTCTCCCGGCAATCTTGATTCCAGCTTGTGCTTCCTCCAGCCTAGCGTTTCTCACGATGTACTCTGCATAGAAGTTAAATAAGCAGGGTGACAATATACAGCCTTGAGATACTCCTTTCCTGATTTGGAACCAGTCAGTTGGTCCAGGATACTGATCAGGAAATTACCAGCAAAATACAATGATTGTAGATAAAGAAAAAGAAGCCCCAGGGGATGTTTAAGTGGCCACGCTCCTGGAATGCTCACAGGCAGGGGCAGGGCTAACAGGAGGAAGCTAACAGCAAGAGGCCTGGAGGGAATACCTGAGGTGACGGAAGAGTTCTCTGATTGTGGGAGTGGCTACCTGGGTATGTGTTGTTTAGTCGCTCAGTCATGTCCGACTCTTTTGTGACCCCAGGGACTGTAGCCCACCAGGCTCCTCTGTTTGTGGGATTTCCCAGGCAAGAATACTGGAGTGGGCTGCCATTTCCTTCTCCAGAGGATCTTCCCAACCCAGGGATCGAACCTGCGTCTCCTGCTTATCAAGCGTCTCCTGCTTTGGCAGGTGGATTCTTTACCACTGAGCCACCTGGGAAGCCTGTCGTTGACTAAATGTGTTTTAAATTAAATCCATTGGTCTTATTTGTTGGGATGATTATGTGAATAAAAAATAGTGCCTGCCATAATGGTAAACAAAGGATTTTGTAGCCATCAAGGCATCACATTATGGCAGTCCAGTGGTGAGCCCTGCCGGGTCTTAGGATGGAGGCAGGATCCCTACCTCCCCCATCCAGTAGTCTGCCCCTCAGCCACTCCAGATGGTGCCCCCTGAGGAGATTCAGGATGAGAAAGCACAGGATGCTGGCCCCAGAGAGCTGAGGTGCATCTCAAAGAACGATCTCAGTGAGCCCAGACTCTTGTGTCTTCCTATACACAGAATGAGAGTGTTAGTTGCTCAGTCGTGTCCAACTGTTTCAACCCCATCCATCGACTGTAGCCCACCAGGCTCCTCTGTCCATGGGATTCTCCAGGCAAGAATACTGGAGTGGGTTGCCATTCCCTTCTCTAGGGGATCTTCCCAATTGAAACCGGGTCTCCTGCATTGCAGGCAGATTCTTTACCATCTGAGCCAAGAGAAAAGTGCTTAATTCCTTAACCTGAGTGTCTGGTTTTCTTTAGTTAACAGTAATCTTTAGATGGTCCAACAACCTGGTCTTTGTTGAAAAAACTCCTGTATTTCTTGGCTTCCTCGACCCGACCCACTGCTGCCTGCCCTTCCCCACCCACACACACCACCTTGACTCTTGTGAAGAGTCTCCGAGTTATCTGAGATGCTGAATCTGAGGGCCTTCAAGTCCTCAGAATTTCTGGAGAATGAAACATAACTCTTAACTCTTAGGTTGTGTTTTTTTCTTTTTCAGTCAGCAGTTCTTGAAGGCTTCTAACCTCATCTTCCTTTCTGACTTCCTCAAGACCTGGCCAGATCAGCAGTGATTGATGACTGACCAACTATATGATTCCCAGTGTCTGGAAAGAAAAAGTGGGTAGTGCCTGACTGCACTGACCACCTGTAACAGGAGGTGATATATAAGTTTTCTCCCTGTCTTGGAGTTTTGGCTGAGATTCCAGGGCTGAGAACAATGGGAATGAAGAGTCCAGAGGATCTCAAGAAAGATGCCAGTCAGAGCATCCACCCAGACCTTCTGTCCGGGTCCCTAGGGGATCAGACTGAGCCACCCTTTCACCTGGACCAGGAACTTGATCAGAGGGGAAGATGGTGAGGATTCCTTTACAGCTTCCTGCTGGACACTGTCTTTACCACCACCTTCTCTGCCTCAGATGGAATGATAAGGGTTTGGATGGAACTGTTTGGAGAAAAAGGCCTTTGAGCCCTGGGGTGCAGATCCCAAGGAGGAGAAAAGTCTAAAGATGAGAGGTGAGACTTCCCGGGCAGTCTAATGATTAGGACTTTGTCTTCCAATGCAGGGGGTGTGGGTTCCCATGCCTGGTCAGGGAGATAATGAAAACGTTAAAAATGGTCCACATAAAATAATTATTTAAAATAATATAAGTAAAAAATAAAAAGATAGGAGGTTGGTGATAAGACCAGAACTGAGAGAGGGGCCTGCATGGATGGGCCAGGGCTCAAGTCAGGCAGGCAAAGGCTGGCTTTCTGCCATAGACCATGTGTTTGTCCAGAAAGTGGTCAGGCCAGCACTCTCTTGAGATGAGACTGCCCACAGTGACCGCGACAGAGGGCCTCTGGGAGGTGAAGCTTCCCCATCAGGGGCTGGAGAGCATGTCACCCTCAGCAAGGAATGCACTGATAGAAGGTCCTCAGCTAGGGTGGTGGGGGGAGATGAGAAACTTCAGAAAACCCACACAAGTGCCAAAGGAGAGACTGAGTCAGAACCTGGCTTCTATCCCCCAGAGATGCAACACATATATACACACACACATGCTTCACACACAAAGAAGACAGCATCACACCTGCACATGCTTCTCTAGGCCACTGCATCGCACACACATACACACCATGCACACACACACTCCACGTACACACACCATGTACACACGCGCACACACGTGCTTCTCTAGGCCACTGCTCTTCCTCCTGAGAATGAAGGCCACCTGCGTCCCCGCTCAGGGAGCCGGCCTGATGTGGGGGAGGGACAGAGAGGTTGACAGCATGCAAGAGGAACTTCCTTAAAGTAGCACTGACCTGTGTACCCTACCATGTGTGAAATAGACAGCTAGTGGGAAGCTTCTGTACAGGACAGAGACCTCAGCTCAGTGGTCTATGACGACCTACAGGGGTGGGATGGGAGGGGGAATGGAGGCTCAAGAGAGAACGGATATATATATATATAATTGTGACTGATTCATGTTGTTGTATGGCAAAGACCACCACAACATCATAAACCAATTATCCTCCAATTAAAAAATTTTAAAAATGAAAAATAAAATAAAATTTCCTGTCACTGTTAGGGAAAAAATAAGCACTTCCTTGAATACACATTATCTCGTTTATCCACATACTGAGGAACTCTTTGGTGGGCATGCATTTCAAACATATTTTATTTTATTTTTTTTCATTTATTTTTATTAGTTGGAGGCTAATTACTTTACAACATTGCAGTGGTTTTTGTCATACATTGACATGAATTAGCTATGGATTTACATGTATTCCCCATCCCGATCCCCCATCCCACCTCCCTCTNATACATAGAAAACTATAAAACACTGATGAAAGAAATCAAAGAGGACACAAACAGATGGAGAAACATACCATGTTCATGGACTGGAAGAATCAATATTGTCAAAATGACTATACTACCCAAAGCAATCTATAGATTCAATGCAATCCCTATTAAGCTACCAACGGTATTTTTCACAGAACTAGAACAAATAATGTCAAACATATTTTAAAATGTTTAAATCTATAGGTTTACATGTGCACCATGTTTTGTTTAGACTGATAGAGACTGTATGGGGAACAGGAAGAAAGGTAAAAGAGAGGGAGAGGGGTAAAAGAGCGGGAGACTGCAGTGGGGAGGCAGGTGTGAGTTACAGCTCATGCTTGTGGTCTCAGCTAACGGCTCAGCCTCACTGTATATTACAGTGTGGGCTTCCCAGATGGCTCAGGGGTAAACAATCTCCCTGCATGCAGGAGACATGGATTCAAAACCTGGGCCACGAAGATCCTGTGGAGAAGGAAATAGCAACCCCCTTCAGTGTTCTTGCCTGGAGAAAATCCCATGGACAGGGAAGCCTGGCAGGCTACTGTCTGTGTGGCTGCAAAGGGTAGGACACAGCTGAAGCGACTTAGTACTCAGCCCTAGCATATTACAGTGATGCTTCTCAGTGGGCCTGTTTCACACGATGGTTACAGGACAGGCAGGATCCAATGGTAATCTTTACCAAAGTCAGTTATTTGTGGACCTGGTTTTGCAATTTTTAAATGCAGCTGCTTTGATATATCCAAGTATTTCAGCTTGATCCTGGAAGGCATTTCAAGAGGCACCCCAAGTTCACCCACAGCACCAGGACTCCATAGAAGAAATGTGGTGCCCATGGCTGGAAAAAGAAGCAAGTCAGTCTAACAGGTCCAGGCACGAAGAAAAGTAAAAATATTTTGATTTTTTTTTAAATAATGCAGAAAGTTCAGGACCTTTTTATTTTTCTTCTGGCTGGTCCACTACTGAGTATAAGATTAATAAACACAAAAGAGGATAATCTTGACTCAAATGAAGCACTTGGTTAGCATATAAACCTCCCATGTGGAGAAAGATTTTGTCTTCTTCATGCCCAGGAGACATGCCTTTCCAAGATTTCTCTCCTCATTTTAGTTGTTGGGGTATTCATGCATGTCTCATAAATAAACTGCTAAAATTTTCAGGTGGCTTTGTTGTTGTTCAGTCACCAAGTCATGTCAAACTCCTTGAGACCCCAGGGAAGCAGCATGCCAGGTTTCCCTGTCCTTCACAGGTGGCTTTACCTATTTATCACATGTATTTATTCTCAATATAGGACATCATTTTGATGCCATGTTCTCTCTGGTAAATTGGCTCCTAGTAACATCAGTACATGGGAGGCTCTGTATGGGAAGGACATTCATCAGAGATCAGGATGAACCCAGAGATTTATTTCTTTCAGGATCACTGATGCAGAAAGGGAAGCTGGTTTAAGTCCAGACAATGTGCTTTAAACAAAACACATCTTCAGAGAGCTTGCACCTTCAGTCTAGGAGACCAGTGTGGCTTGAATCCAGGTGACTACCTGGTGACAACATAAAAGGGATTACACAGTGAGCACGAGTGTCACCTTCATGACCTTGAAAGACCCTGTGATTTACAACTGGGCCAAATATATTCAGTCTATTGGTTTTCTTACAGACACCAAAAGATGACTTTCCAATTCAGGGGGCATTATATGTACATATACATGTATATATGAATGGTGACAGAGTACTTCACAATATTCCCAGATCAGTTGTTAGAAATGCCCTTATTCTTTTTTGAAAAAGATTTATTTATATATATATTTTTTATTTTGGGGACACTGTGCTGGGTTTTTGACGTTACATGGGCTTTCTCTAGTTGCGGTGCTCACTGTGGCGGCCTCACTTGTTGCAAAGCATGGGCTCTAGGTGCCTGGGCTTCCGTAGTTGCTGCATGCGGGCTCCACAGTTGCAACTCCCAGAGTCTAGAGCACAGGCTCAGTAGCTATGGCCATTGGGCTTAGTTGCCCCACAGAATGTTGGATCTTCCCAGACCATACCAGGGATTGAACCCGTGTCTCCTGCATTGGCAGACAGATTCTTATCCCCTGGATCACCAGGGAAGCCTGAAATACTCTTATTCTTGAAGCTGAAATCTTTTGTCTTAAATTTGAGCAAAATAAAAGCTCTTCAGGTACAGATGAGAAAAGCCTCTCAAAGTAGGCAGGTAATAGTTAGTGGTATCATTTACTTGACATGTATTATCATGCCAGTTGGGTGTTGCTTATGGGTCATCACCTTGGAGTCAAAACTTCTCTTGAAAGTAGACCAAATAATTTTCACTGAAAGCTCATGAACCACTTTATGAACCACATGTACACTTCATCAATCATAAAGACATGGTTAAATTTTAATTGATTAATGAGCACCTTGAATCTTCTCCCAGAATTCTTAAGTACTGCTCATAAAAAGTTTAGTGTTATGTTGGGAGCATGAGGCACCCTGGAGAGTTGATTCTTGCATTTCTCATGGAGCACAGAGCTTTTAACATATGCTAGTAAGCCTGGTGCTATGGTTCAAATGGGTTTTTAATTAAACCTAACAGGGAAAACAATAATGTTGGATGGAAGAAACAATCACTGAATAATGAGATTTGTGGTAGAAAAATCATAAACCCCACTTCATGCTTGAACTGGGTGGAAAACATTAACAAGTACATTTATAATCAGCTTCAATGACTGCAAAACCTCTCCGCATAGAATAAAAGAGATTAGCAAAGCCAATAAAATTTATCATTTATAATAAGAGACATAAATGGATGTAACTGAGCTTACATAGCAGCTATCAACAGGTCATAATTCTAGCTATTTATATGTGAACAGTACATCTTCCTTTCCTCTGTATCTTGAATTAATCTGGTATTGTACAGGGGGTGTTAGGTACCCAAGTCTAATATTGCTAAAATTTGACTTTCTTATGGGAAAGTATTTCTTCTATCTTTTCCTATATACAAGTGTCACAGCAGAGACACTTCACGCTTATCACACACTCAGGTCCAGACCTCCATGTCTCCTTTGCGGTTTTGATGGTACCATGAGTTGACTCTGGCAAATGGGGAGTGGAAGGACATGAGCTATGTCACCTTCCTGGCCTTTATTATTTAAAAAAAAAATAATTATGTATCTATTTGGCCGCACTTGATCTTAGTGGCGGCACTCAGGATCTTGAATCTTCTTTGCTGCATGCGGGCTCTTAATTGAGGAATGTGAGGTCTAGTTCCCTGACCAGGGATCACACCCAGGCCCCCTGCATTGGGAGTGCAGAATCTTAGCTGTTTGACCACCACTGAAGTCCCTCCTCCTGGCCTTTAAGGTGTTAGAAGGCCCTGTGCCTCCTCTGCCATGCTCCCTTCCATGTGGGCTGGCTTGACCACGGTTGAGGAGATAGAGCTCTAGGTACAACCAGCCTGGATCCTCGTGTCACCGTTTAGAAACGGCTTCCCTTCACTAGGGCTTCCCTTGTGGCTCAGAGGGTAAAGAATCCGCAGGCAATGTGGGAGACCTGGGTTCGATCCCTGGGTCAGGAAGATCCCCTGCAAGAGAGCATGGTAACCCACTCCAGGATTCTTGCCTGGAGAATCCCCATGGACAGAGGATCCTGGCGGGCTCCATGGGGTCACAAAGAGTTGGACATAACTGGGTGAATAAGCACAGTGCACAGAGCACTGCAGAGATAATGGACTCCCAGTGAACTGCAAGTGGTCAAAACTTTACGTGCTGATCTCCTGAGATTTCTGTAGATTTGCTATAATAAATTCTTGGGGAAGTATCCCTTGACTGATAATGTGAACAAGAGTCCCCAGAATCCCTAGTTATTTTATTGGTCAGAATTTTAGAAAATTCTTTCTGCAACTGAGGGTTCTGCATTAACCATCTCCTATTTTTTACTGTACAGCTTCTCTGGTGGCTCAGCATCTTTTATGTAAATCTCATAGTTGTCAACAAGCCAATCCCATCCAGATAACTTTTCACCATCCTCAATGGGGATGTCTCCCATCTCCCCTACCTTGGGAGGGTCCACAACCAAGACAAGGTGTGTTTGCCTCATGCTGGGCACTAGGTAGGGAGTGTTAGTGAAAGAAAGCAATGCAATGTCATCTGGCAAGGGAACTCCACTGTGGAAATACATAAGCGTATGCTCAGTCCCTCTAGCAAGCCATGCAGAGGATGCAGATACCCAGACACAGCTGTATGCACCCTGGGCCATGGGAACCTGGCAATAGGACCTAGGAAAGCCCTAGTGCAGTCCCATAAATATATCAGCATTCCTTATCAAAACCTACCATGATGCTCAACACACGTTAGCTGAATACGTTCATTGAGGGAGTACTATTTAACCCAGAGCCATCTAAATTGACTGTGACTGAATCCATGAAATTAAAAGACGCTTGCTCCTTGAAAGAAAAGCTATGACAANATGGACATGAATTTGAGCAAACGTTAGGAGAGAGTGAAGGACAGAGAAGCCTGGTATGCTGCAATTCATACCCTCCAATAAAAAACAAACAAAAAGAAATAAATACCAAATATAAAAAAATAAAAATAAAAAAGAATTGGACACAACTAAACAACAGCAAACATTTGCCAGAAGGCCATGGAAGGTGAGCTGTTTTAAAAAGAAAGCATTTATGTTGTATGTAAAGCACAATAGGCTATGAGGCCAGGATGGTAAAGGCCCCCAAAATCTGTGGTTCAGAGTTGAAGGAACCAGAGAAATAAACTCAGGCTAGTTGACATTCTCATCAAGTATTCTGAGACCTGTCAAGGGTAGGAGAAAGTAGATTCAGCTCCAGGGAATAGAACTTGGTCTAAATGCTGTGAGCGCCAAGGAAGTCATTTTCAGCTCAGTGTAAGGAAATGTCTCACATTGATATCGGTTGTCTCAGGGAATGACATTTTCCTCACCGTGGGAAGAATTTAAAGAGGGGCAGAAAGACTTAACCACACAGGTGGTTGAACTAGATAAATACTAAGATCCCCTAGGAGTGGAAGCGAGATAAGTGCAAAATAAGTGTTTATGTTGACTCAAGTTAATGCCTGTGATATTTCTGTTCACATAATTCATACGTTTTCCTTCCGTGTCTTGATTAAGAGGAGAAGTTCTTTCTGTTTGAATCCACTTCATCCGCTGACAGATGGCTTTGTTGACAGTGACACTATTTGTCTCTGACACTGTTTCTACACATTCTAGCCATGCAGACACAGGGTTCACTATGACATCAAAATGAAGAGTCTCTGGTCCATCCCTTCTATGGCAATAACAATCCTTTCTCATAGGCAATAAAGAAGGCAGAGTGCCAAAGAATTGATCTTTCAAACTGTGGTGCTGCACAAGACTCTTTAGAGTCCCTTGGACAGCAAGGAGATAAAATCAATCAATCCTAAAGGAAATCAATACTGAATACTCATTGGAAGGACTGATGCTGAAGCTCCAATACTTTGGTTACCTAATTCAAAGAGCCAGCTCATTGAAAAAGACCCTGATGCTGGGAAAGATTGAAGGCAGAAGAAGAGGGTAACAGAGGATGAGATGGCTGGATGGCATCATTGATGACAATGGACACGAACTTGGGCAAACTCCAAGAGATGATGAGGGACAAGGAAGCCTGGAATGCCGCAGTCTATGGGGTCATGAAGAGTAGGACCCAACTGTCATCCAGTTGTCACCTGAGCAACGACAATCATAGACACAAAAAAATATAAAGCAGCTTCTGGGTGCCAGGCACTGTGCTAAGCACTTCGCCTGTGGTGCTCTGTTTAATTTGCACTATAATCTATGTAGTCAGGACTGTATGACCCCATTTTACAGATAAGGACACTGAGATAGAGCCTCATGGGGTTTACTGAAAGCCACACAACTTAAGTACCCAAGAGGAATTTGGATCCTGGGTGGTCTGAGTTTTAAGCCAGTGCTTTTATCTAAGACACATTTAAAAAGGCAGAATCAAATGTAGAGAAAAAAAAATCCAGCAAGTGGTTAAGAACACATGAAATGTGGTCATTTCCCCATGGTGGAAGGAGAAAAGATTCACGTACTTTTCCTTGAAGATCAAAATAACCCAAGCACTGTTTGTTCATTTCAGTAGATTGTGATGCTAACGCAGGTTATTTTAAGAGACGAAGTATTTCACAACAAAGACAATGAATGGAAATATTTAAAAAACAACAACAAAAACTGTGTTTTGCTGAGCTCTTTGAACTCGATTGCTCAGGAAACAAACGAGTTTGAAAAATTGAAGATTTCAGTTTACGGATGATGGTTAAAATCTCATACACTGCATGCCCGTGGAAAATATTTTTCATGTTGAAGGTTTTCAGTCATCTGATAGGATCATTGTACAGTTATGTAATATTTTAAGGTCCTTCAAAGCTGGGCACGTTGCGGCTCTGTTTCCAGACAGAAGACTCAAGGGTCCACGCTGACAGATCTCATGGGTGGCATCCTTATCCCTCCAGGCTCAGCAATAATTGTTAATCCTTGGATGGACCTTCTTGTCACAGGTAGATGGTGCAGGTCTTCTATTAATAAAAGTGGATTTAAAAACAAAACTGATAATGCTACTTTTCCACTGTGAAAAAGTCATTAAAGAAAGCTGGCTTGAAAAGGGGCACAATTTTCCATGAACTTAATATTTTTAAAACCGTTGAAAAAATATTAGGTCCAGCTGGTTTCTACTTGGGGCCAGAGAGTAAATAGTTTAGGCCTTGTAGGGTCCTGGACAGTCTTGTTGCAACACTTTAACTCCATCACTGTGGTGTGAGAGCAGCTGGGCAAGACAGAAACAAACGAGGAGGCTGTTTGGAAACAAAACTTTGTGGTGTTGTTTAATCACTAAGTTGTGTCTGACTCTTTGTGATCCCATGGACTGTAGCCCGCCAGGCTCCTCTGTTTATGGGATTTCCCAGGCAAGAATACTGGAGTGGGTTGCCATTTCCTTCTCCAGAGGCTCTTCCCGACCCAGGGATCAAACCCATATCTCTTGCACTGGCAGGCTGATTCTTTACTCAAGGGAGCCCAGCCCTTGAGAGCCAGTAGGCAAGGCTGGTGAGATGGCTCCTGGCGCAGCTTCTCCTGCATCCCTTCTTTCTTTTTGTACTTCTCAAAGAGTACTGGCTTGCAGCAGGAGAGTTTAATATACACAGAATGTGCCAACTGCTTTGATGATTATAAATAACTACCAATGAAGGGGGCACTGGTGAAAGTGTTTGATGCGTGGGTCAGGAAGATCCCCTGGAGAAGGAAATGCAACCCACTCCAGTATCCTTGCCTGGGAAATCCCATGGACAGAGGAGCCTGGCAGGCTACAGTCCATGCAAAGAGTCAGACACAACTGAAGTGACCAAGTACATGTGCAATGAGAAAAGTCCATTTCTTTCTGCTGTATCCTCAGTCCCTAAGGAGTGTTACAGCATGCAATAAGTGCTATGTTTTGCTTGTTGGATGAAAAAAAGGAATGAATATGTGCTGTGTCCAGGGTAACTCACCATTGAATCCCAGCCAGGTGTTTGTACTCACTCTTCTCTGCCTGCCAGCCCCAGGCTCCTCAGGTTTGGGCTTGGGTTTTTGTCTTTATAGGAAGTGTGTGCAAATTTCTGAGCTAGAGATGGTTTCTTGTCAAGGTCTCCTTCTTGTTAGTGCCCTGTATGTGTTTTCTGAACCATCTTTCTGTGTTCTTGGCCTCTTGTTTCATTCTGGTCCTTTCTGTCTTGTTCTTGTTCCCCAGCTTGTAAGCCTCTTGCTGCTGTTTCTGATCCTTTGAGCCTGGCAGATGACTGCACTGGTCTTTGTATACCTGGCTGGCCTGACTTTTATGACCAGAAGAATTATACTCCAATTAAAAAGTAAATAAAGAAAGAAAAGTAAACAAAACACCTGAGGGTAATATAGATGGCAATATCCAGAACTGAATACCAGCCCCACCCATCAGGTTTTTTCTGCTTACCAACCTTCTCAGTTCACTGCCTTGAAATCAAGAATCTCCTACTCTCCAAGCCCAGGTTCTTACCTGGGAATTTTCCATGGAAAGCCTACAGCAAGCCAGGTTTCCTTCTCTGGATGCACTTTGAAAACTAAGTGCTACAATGGTTTGGATGATTGTAATATTCAGATACCGTAGAGAATGATAAGGATGGGAAATACAAGTAGAGTGATGAAAATAAGATAAGAAATGTGATGATGGCACCATGGATGACCGTCCTTGCATGACGCCTGGAAAGACAGTGTGGGGGATGGGCCAGAGCTACACTGTCACTTCTCTCTAGGGCTCCTTTAAGAGCTTTCCAGACCTTAATGACCGACTCGTGTTGATAAAAACATCTCAGATCTTGATAACAAAGGAAAACCACCTGATTCTTGTATTGTAGAAGGATTCTGCCAGTGCTCTGCCTTGAAAGTATGAAAGTTGAAGCTGTTACCATGAGACAAAGGACACAACAGATGATATGAACTATGAGGTGTCACGGATTTCCCTTTGTTTGACAGAGACCAATAGAAACTCTATACTGCGATGATGATATCTTACAGGTTGCAGTGGCTGTAAAATACAGTTTTACCGAAATGTTGTGTTTAATGGAAAAGGATTTTATAAAGCTTCCATTTTAAAATATAAATTTAAATTTTTGTTGTTGTTGTTTAGTCTCTAAGCTGTGTTCGACTCTTTTGTGACCCCATAGACTTGTAACTTTCCAGGCTCCTCTCTTTGGGATTTCCTAGGCAAGAATACTGGAGTGGATTGCCAGTTCATCTTCCAGGGGAATCTTCCCAACCCAGGGATCAAACCCTTGTCTCCTGCACTGGCAGACAGGTTAAAATTTAAATAAGCTAAAATTGAATAAAACTAAAAACTCATTTTCTCAGTTGCTCTAACCACACGAGACATGCTCACTAAATAGAGGCATATTTCAGTGTGATTTACAACTTCTCACTGATATCATGCTGTGTATGAATGAGCTAAATTTGAAGCACCAAGGAAGGAAAATCTTACTCATGACATAGGAAAAATTTTTTCTATTTCTTTAATTTTGGATCTATGTGAAATGATGGATGCTTACGGGACTTCTTGTGATAACCATTTCATGGTGGATGTCAGCCAAATTGTGATGCTGTACATCTTAAACTTATGCAATTGTAATAAACTAGAAGAAAAAAGATAGAGGAAAAAAGTCAATAAGAAACAAGTACCTATGACCTAGAATTAATAAAAGCTGGCATTTGGAAAAAGTGGTATAGATTCTAAATAATTTGATGTGTATGGATTTTTGTAATTTTTTAATATATAACTTTGTTTATTGGTTGATTTACTTACGGCTGTGCTGGGTCTTCGTTACTACAAGGGCTTTTCTCTAGTTGTGATGAGTGGGGGCTTCTCTTCCTTGTGGTGTGCGGGCTTCTCACTGCTGTGGCTTCTCTTGTTTCGGAGCACAGGCTTTAGGGTTCCCGGGCTTCAGTAGTTGCAGTTCCCAGGTTCCAGAGCACAGTCTCAGTAGTTGTAGTCCACAGGCTTAGTTGCTCTGCGGCACATGGGATGTGGGATCTTCCTGGACCAGGGATCAAACCTGTGTCTCCTACATTGACATGTGGATTCTGTACCCTTGAGCTAGTAGGAAAGCCCTACATCTATAGTTTTGATGAATGTTTTTCTCACCTGGATATTTATGTGGTCAGGTTGCCTGTGAGCTTGTGTAATTGAGGAAGGAAATGTTTTTCTCACCTGGATATTTATGTGGTCAGGTTGCCTGTGAGCTTGTGTAATTGAGGAAGGAAAGTTTGTAATTGTATTCATGGAGGCTTAATTTGGAAAAAGTGGTATAGATTCTAAATAATTTGATGTGTATGGATTTTTGTAATTTTTTAATATATAACTTTGTTTATTGGTTGATTTACTTAGGCTGTGCTGGGTCTTCGTTACTACAAGGGCTTTTCTCTAGTTGTGATGAGTGGGGGCTTCTCTTCCTTGTGGTGTGCTGGCTTCTCACTGCTGTGGCTTCTCTTGTTTCGGAGCACAGGCTTTAGGGTTCCCGGGCTTCAGTAGTTGCAGTTCCCGGGTTCCAGAGCACAGGCTCAGTAGTTGTGGTCCACAGGCTTAGTTGCTCTGTGGCACGTGGGATGGGGATCTTCCTGGACCAGGGATCAAACCTACGTCTCCTACATTGACTTGTGGATTCTGTACCCTTGAGCTAGTAGGAAAGCCCTACATCTATAGTTTTGATGAATGTTTTCCTCACCTGGATATTTATGTGGTCAGGTTGCCTGTGAGCTTGTGTAATTGAGGAAGGAAAGTTTGTAATTGTATTCATGGAGGCTTCACCTGGCCTCAATTTTATCCCTATAAAATGCTGCTGCCTCTGGAAATGGGGAAGAGAACTCCAGGTTGTTCTAGTTTGAGATTTTTCTAACTTAAACTTTTAAATATTCCCATTTCTGCCACTTAGCCCACAAACACAAATGCACATCCCAGGGATTATTAAGAACAAATAATTTTGATAAGAGCTCTTCAATCGTTTTTTTAACCAAACTCTTCACAATTTAATCTTGGGAATACAGATGCAGAAAAATAAGGGCTTGGAACCAGCTATGACTTTATCAGCCCTGATTGTCCAGAATTTGTTGTGGATTGTTCTTGGCAGGTATTTTTAGGCAAAATCTGTTTCTTAGAAAAACACATGGAGGTGCTCCCTTCTTGTTTCATCTACACAATTTTTGTTAACATTAATGTGACACTACATAAAAATAAGTAAACACAAAATGCCAGCTAATAGCTGATAGCAGTAGAGACAGTAATTTACATAAATAGAATTTACATGAATTCTTTCTGCCACCTTCCAGCAAATAGAGCCATAAAGCATTCAGTTATTGAAGCAGTTTAACTCATTGGAGGAAATCAGTTTCCCACAAAGGGGGCTGTTTTCTTTCCCACATTTTGAGATTGAAGAGGACTCTACACCACTCTTAAGAGAGGAAGTGATTCCTTTTAAAAAGGCATGTATCTTGAAATGTAACAAATAAGGCATTTTTCAGATGGTAAAAGGCTCTTGGAGGATCACTACACCTTCGGAAGTATAATGTTCTGTCCATTACCAGCCACTCAGAAAGTGAGGTGAGGAAAGTCAAGTGTGCTGAGAAACTGTCTTGTAACCAGTCCCTCTTTTCTTTGTAAAAAGTTTCTTTATCCTCATCCACACCATTGTTAAAAATCTAAAATGAAAGGCTTATCAGCATAAAGCAATACCTTCTATGAAAAACACAAAAGACCTTCGTATTTTTATAGTAGCAATCTTCTCAAATCAGAGAAATAGGCCAGAATTATGGAAAAATACAATTTTTCTTTAAAGGCAGCTCAATATCATCAGCTGTATCTCTACAACTTTAGGTATTTTTAAATTTAGTAATCTCTGGTAATGATTTCAATAATAATAATGTAATAATTTCTTCATTATTGCAGGTGTTATAATTTAAAGTATTTAAGATTTGTTTCTATTAGACACGCTAAGTCAGTCAGTTGTGTCCGACTCTATGTGACTTCATGGACTGTACCCTGCCAGGCTCCTCTGTCTATGAGATTTCTCAGGCAAGAATACTGAAATGAGTTGCCATTTCCTTCTTCAGGGGATCTTCCTGGCCCAGAGATTGAACCCACATCTCTTGGATTTCCAGCATTGCAGGCAGATTCTTTACCTGTTGAGCCATCAAGGAAACCGAGACATATCTCTCCTCTATTCAAAGCACGACTATCATATAGTTCATATGCACTTATAATCTGGGCGAATTTAGGCTCTGTTTACATTAGATCTATGTGCTATATAATGAAATTTAAAGACTGAACCCTAACCATTCAATATAATAAATTTGACTTTGTATTCATGTAATGTAGAAAAATCTAAGTATTTACGCCATTTGATTCACTCTGTCTCAGGATTAATTGTGATGTTGCTTAATTTCACACTCTGAATATCGTTGGTTGTGGTTTCATCTCTTAGTTTCATCTCTCCCAGGCCAGATTTTATATGAGCTGGAACTCGTGGGTTTTCTACTGTAGACCTAAATATAAGGGTAAAACGAAGCAGGTCTGAAATTGTCAAAGGCTGAGTTTATTTGAGACTAGCAGAGCAATTGCTTTTCAGGACATGCTAGCGGTAGCAAGCCACAGGCGAGTCTGTTGAGGGTTTGGGGCAGGTTGTATTTATGGGCAGGGAACAGAAAGAAGGGTCAGTTAGAGTCTGTTAAAATCAAAACCACACAGAGACCAGCTTTGAAAATTTTCTGAGCAGACAGACCCAGTCCAGTCATACAAACAAAGCTCAATTCAGCTTATTTTGAGAGACCAACCCTACCTGGGTCGTTTCTTGTTTATGCCTCTGGAGACCAGAAACAAACTTTCCCAAAGTTGATAGGGGACAACCCCTGACCAACTCCATGGCATTTAAGAAAATGCCAGTATTGTCAATTGTCTATAAAGCAGGCATTTACAGGAAATGTATCTGTCCTTTTTTTTTTTTTTCTCCAGGGGACACATTTGTGAGATTTTCCATTTTGAATCCTCTGGTTCCATTTTATACTGAAATTCTTTTACCGCACCCACCACCATCGTCTTCAGTTTCAAAAATATACTGGCCTCCCCGCTTCTGCTCTTACTCATTTATAATATAATGTCCACATGACTTTCCACTTAACTCATAACAAAATCCCAAATCGTGCCCTGACCTGTATGGCTTGCGTGATCTGGCTCCTGCCTGATTCTTCAAACTTATCTCCTTATGTTTTCTCTTCGCTAACTAGTTCCAGACACATTTCCTGACTGCTGGTCACGTGAACCACGCTTGTATAATCTGTTTTCTCAGAATATTTTCTGTTCACTCTGCCACAGAAAATACTCTCCCTGAAGATCTCTCATCACCTGCTCTTCATGTAATTTGTGTCTGTTTTTAGATGCTAGGTCAAGAAACCTGCAGTGGTCCTGTGGTTGAAATAGCCCTTTTCACACCAATTTCTATGCTCATACTCTGCCATATTCTTCATGTCACTTATCTCTACCTGACATTACATGCAATGCTTATTTGTTGTACATGTGTTATATGTATTTGTTTACTAGAATGTAAGCTCTATAAGGGCTCTAAGTATTTCTTAAATACTTTTTACTGTGGTGTTTCCATCAAATAAAACTGTGTGTACATGGGGAAGTTGGGAATGAGAGAAACAGATGAGGCAGAAGAAGAGGAACAAACTGCCAGTTACTAAATAAATGAGTCATGGGTATAAAATGTTCAGTGTGGGGAACAGAGTCAGTAACTATGTATTAATACAAATAATCTTTGTATGGTAAGAGAAGGTAAGTAGGCTTATCAAGGTGATTGTAAAATGTATAGAAATGTCAAGTCACGACATTGTGCACCCAGGACACAGTGTTGTTGACCAGTTATATTTCAAAATAGACAAACTTATAGAAAAAGAGACCAGATTTGTGGTTACCAGAGGTACGGGTTTACATAGGGGATTGGATGAAG